TTAAGACAAAGTCCGTGCGTCAGTCCGCCACAACCACTGAAAAAAGCCTCTCTCTGTCATCTTTGCACCCTCCCTTGCGGTGTTTATATACATAGATAAGATCCCCCTGACCCTTCTCATCTCCAGGCTAAACAGTCCCAGCTCTCAGCCTTTCCTTATAGGAGAGGTGCCCCAGTCCCTTAACCATCTTTGTGGCCCTTCACTGGCTGCACTCCAGTGTGTCCATGTCTCTCTTGTACTGAGGAGCCCAGCACTGGACACAGCACTCCAGGTGTGGCCTCACCAAGGCTGAGTAGAGGGGGAAGGATCACCTCCCTCGACCTGCAGCAGCATCGCTCTTAATGGAGCCCAGAGTACTGTTAGCCTTTGGCACAAGGGCCCATTGCTGGCTCATGTTCAACTTGGTGTCCACCAGGACACTCAGGTCCTTTTCTGCAAAGCTTTTCCCACTGGATTTGTAGAACAGTCTGATATCTTTGCATCCGCTCTTAGTGTACAGGCAGAGTGTCATATCCCCACCCTGAGATTTTTCTTCTTTGCGGTAAACCGTCAGTTTTCTTCAAATTTTTTTGTAGGTCTTAGTTTCTAGATCTTTCATCACATTCATTGCTCTTCACCAGACTCTCCAGCTGATCCATCTCCTTGTTATACCAAATAGGAACAGATTTGCCCATCTGAGGCCTGAACACTGGTGGTCAGAGCAGGATTAGTTCCTGTGTTGCGCAAGTCATATTCTTGTTTACGTAGTCCTGTATAGTGTTTTCTTTCTAAATGACAACATGACTTGGCTTACATTCATCTGTTCCACTCTGTAGATTCCGGGCCATCTTCTTCGGAACTGTTAGCCTGCCTGTACTTTTTGCATTCACCTATTTCTGCCTAAACATATTCATTGTCCTTGTTGTTGAATCCTGGTTTTAGCCCATTTCTGCAGTTTCAGACTTTTTTTTTTTTTTTAATTCCAGTGTTTTCCACCATACTTGCAGCCCTTCTAAACATGTCACCTGGAAACATGACAAGCAGAGTCATTACATTTCTTTCTGGAATCATCCTGCTGCCTTGTCCAGTGCTCACAAAACCCCCCAAGCCCCTAACCGCTCAAATACTTGGGAATATCTTGCTGTGAATGCCCCTGAGACACGGCTGTGTATCCTACAGGACATTCACAATAGTGAATCCAGATGTTTTAAAATTTAGTCTAGCAGCTGGCTCACCTTTCACCAAGTCACCCTGTACATCACCCTGTACTCTCATTCTCAGTGTGCAGTGATGCTTTTTTTTCCTGAGTTTATGCTGTTTTCTTTGTACCTTGAAGTGATGATGGTGCCCAGGTTGATTTGTCATAAGCTGATTTTCCCCCAGCCTTCCCAGTTCTCTAAATAATTATGGGCCTGTTAAAGAAGCAACTTTGTTTATTCTCATTGGAAATTGTTCATGTTTATTCTCATTGAAATTGTTCATTGTATGAAGTCAAGCATGCACCTGTAACTGTTTATAAAAGTGTTGCCTAGCACTGCAAGTTTCCTAACCTACTCTGAATAACAGTCCCTCTCTCCCCCCAAAAAGAGGGCTATATTCACAGTTTGTGAGGCATTATGTACTGGTCAAAGTCAAAGCACCAGCTCCAGTAAAATTTGTGGATTGCAGAGGCTGCAGAATACATGGCCTGGCCTAACAATGAAGAAAATTATTTTTAAAACCCAAAATTGTTTCTTAGAAAATACTGCCTCATATTTCCTTTAATATTTTCCAGAAGGTGTGTACACCTCTCAGTCACTGTGCTAAACACCAGTCTCTCTACAGAGAAGTATAGTCTTCCATCAGTGCAACAAATGAGGCTTTTCCCAATGCTTTTCCTTAAAAATGCGGCAGTGGACTTGGCATTTGATCCATAAGATTTTGATCCATAAGCTTTTGATCCATACTTAATCCTAGGATGGCATGCATCCAGAACAAGCAGAGCGCTGGATATTGTGTACCTAATGAAGCAGCTGTTGGTGTACAGCACAGTAGGAGACTCTCTGATGTTCTCAAACAGCAGCTTTAGAGTCTGTCAGTATTCGCTGGGTAGGTCTTTGGGGAGAGAGGCTGAAGGAGTTCCTCAGAAGCAGGGTCTCTTCTGTTTGCTGCCCTTTCTTTGCAGTGAGTTGTGGAAGTAAAATTCAGCAATAGGTTTTTTGGTTTTCATCCTAGAGCTACTTAGGCTGCACCATCATTTCACAGCAACGTAATCCCATAAAACATGACATGTAATTGCTCATTTCAAAATGTTCTCTTATAACTGTAGATCAGGAGAATGTCTCCTGAAAATAGTGGAATTATTCTCCTTTTATTTGTTAAGAATATAATTAAAGAGTCAGGAAAGCAATGAAATGTAGCAGTAATGAAATACAACTGGTGGCAGAAGGGTTTCAGTCTTTCCCTGCTTACAAGAAAGATAGATGATGTAATCCTGATTGCGCGTAGCCTTATGGTCCAGGTGTAAAGCAGTCCAGCTCTGGGGTGAAGCCCAGAAGTGGGACTTGCTATGGCAAGCTTCAGGCAAATCTGACGTCCCATTTCATTCAGCTATATGTTAAGGTACAGAGAAGTGTATAAGGCAAGAGAGTCCAAAGAAAAGAGGTGGAGGTTATGCTGGATCACAGTTGCAGACCAAAGTCCTCTAGAAAGAGT